TCACGAAAGCTTTAAATCGAAATTTAGTTCGACAAAAAGTTCAACCTTTTTTTTTCTAACAGGAGGCGTCTTCTGGCGCCTCCAACAAGGTCCCAAAAAGCATCGGACAAAAGGAGACATCCAGAGCCGGCACAGAAAACCCAGCTGAGGTGGATGATGATGATGCTGGTGATGGGTGGGTGGAGGGGGGAGAATAGGTGCTGAATGAACGCCTTGTAAGGGCTTCTGTGCGCAGCCCCTTGCTCCCAACGCAGCACTCATAAGTGATGCCGCATAAAGACACTCAAATGGGTTCCACTGTGGAGGAGAAATCTGATGAGTCCACATCCAAAACACTGAAGCCGGATATTTTAAAAAAAAAATCCTCGATCGTATGCACGACCCGTTGCTGTGGACACAGGGCACGTGGAGTGGTTCAGCATCCTGTGTCCCAACTGGAGGCGTTGTGAGCTTCTCTCCTCTACTGCCCCCCACCACCACCCACCACCCCCTCATTTGAAACTCCCTTTCCTCTCTTGCATCGGGGAGTCCTGGCAATCCTTCGGCATCTCATACGGTGACTACTTTTGGTTCCCGCGAGGTCGCTTTGTGACTTGGCAAGAGCGGCATTTGAACGACACCGCGGAGATCGCATTTCGCACAGTGGGCCGAGGGTGGCACCTGAGATCCAGCGTCACCGGTCAACACGGTGACTCCCACCACCCCCAACTCCTGTACGAGTCCAGGCTCAAGATCTCCCCGACTTATTCGCCTCGGTCTCTCTCTAAATATTGCTCCCCCCCCCTCCCCCCGGGTTTCTTCTTCTCCGTGTGGATGATGTTGCGTGTTGAACTTCTTTCGCACCGTGCACAGCCAACTGTGCTAATCGGAGGTGCGGCGGGGTGAGGAAGGGCACCAAACTAAACACGAAAAGCAGTTCTAAAGAAATGCGTTTTCAATCTAGATGATTTTTTAAAGTGCACAGCTCCAGTGGCTTCCGAATATCGGAAGAGCGCGTTCCAGACGGCCGCAGAAGCGCATCTGAAAGCGCGCGACGTCGACGGAGAGCAACAACTGAAGCAATTGGCGGGACCCCGGGGGGGTCCCATCACTGCCCCGGGGTGGGAAAAACCTTCGTAGCGACACACGAGTCTTGCTGCCTTACCGACAACAACAAAACTAGCGGTCAATCGATTGGCCTCGTCGAGAGCTACTCGGGGCACTAAGTTTCGTAAAAAGTTACAAAAAAATTACATAAACACGTTAAATTCACTGCCTGGGGGGTCGGAGTCCGTCCGGTGTCCTTGCGGGATCACGAGTGGGCGGACTGAAAAATAATTATTGAGCTGATTTTTGCGGGACCCCGGGGTCCCGCAAAATGATTCAACTGTCATTTAACATCGAGCTGGTTGAGCCAGATAATTGCATCAGGAGTAGCGGAGTGGTGCATCGCCGGTGATGGCTTCTTCGTATTTGGCAATCGGGCACGGAATCGTAAAATGTCCCATAGCTCCGCTCTGGGTGACCTGCAGTCGCACAGCATAGAGTTTCTTTTTTTAATTCTCCATTTATACACCATGAGGCATCAGCTGGTGCCGTGGGTTTGCGTGCGGATTCGCGTCGTGGCCCCCCCCTGAGCTTCGCGGAAGGTTGAAGCCAGGGGGGTCTGCGTCTGCACTCACCAGCGTGGTGAGGTATGGTCACACCTCCCCCCCCCACCCCCCCGGTTTAATGCCTCTCAATGCTCACCTCATCGAGAGGCAGTTATGAGCCATTAAATTCATTGCAGGAGCTCCTTTCCGAGTTAATTGACCTCCCGTAAAGTCCGCAGTAACTGTGGATACAAAATCTGGCGGAGGGGGGGGGGGGTAGTGGGGGGGGGGGGGGGCTTGCCGCTACTGCTGCGAGTCGCAGCGCTTTGGCGTCATGAGCCCCGTCCGCTTGGCGGAGCACGCACCCGGTCGAGAGACCTTTTTGACTGATCCAAGCGGGACACGGCGTTTCAATGCAGTGTGCTTGTTGTGTCTGTGTGTGCACGCGGTGCTGACTAGACGGGAAAGGTCTATGGTAAAGGGTTGCCCAAAGTGCGGAACGCGCTGTGAGATTTAACGATGACACGCAAATTGGGTGCAGCATGTATGTACGTGTATGTTGAACCTCTTTCGCGCGGTACGTAGCCAATCGTGCTAATCGAAGGTACGGGGGAAGGACAACAAACTAAACACAAAGAGCAGTTCTAAAAAAAAATCGTTTTCAATCGAGATGATTTTAAAGTGCATAGCTCCAGTGGCTTCCGAATATCAGAAGAGCGTTCCAGCCGGCCGCAGAAGTGCATCTGAAAGCGCGCGATGCGGAGACCGTCTTTGTTTGATGGCCAGCCCAAAGCTGCTTTCATGTAAAAATAGCTCTCACCTTTAGAATAATAATGCAATTTATAACGCGCACAAATTTGCGAACGTAACGGCCGCAACTCAGAGGCGCGGAGCCAAGATCAGAGTCGCTCGAAAGCGTGGTTATAGAGGCGAGTTTTTAAGTGTCTTTTGAAGGAGGCGATTGAGGTGATGCTGCGAATGTGCCGAGGGACGGCGTTCCAGACTGTTGGGGCTGCCACCGAGAAGCGGCGCATAGACAATGACCATCCTGGATCTTGGTATCAAGAGGAGGTCGTGAGTCGCGCTGCACAGGCATCTGCCGTGTGCTGAGCTGCAAGTCGTCAGTAATGAAGAAAAGGTACGGCGGGCAGGCAGATGTGAAGGCATGGTGGCAGAGGCAGGCGATCTTGTATATGGCCCTGCTGGCGATGGGTAGCCAATTGAGGGCACATGAGACAGCTCTAAAGAACTGAATGCTTGGGCATTTATGTCGTTTAAAACCCACCAGCTCGTGTAACATTTTCAACAATATATACCAGTGAAGGATTCATCAGTACAGTCAGTACAACAGTCATCAATGTTCACTGCTGCCATATGCCTCTGGGAGCCCCATTTAGGGAGAGGGCTGTAACCCTCAGACAATGGAGACCAATTAGCACTTGCCTGGAGGTAACAATTCCAATATGCAGATGACGAGGAAAAGCCATCACGACAGAAGAAATTAGTGCAGCCTGGAAAACAGATTTTTTTTTTAACGCTCTGAAATGCGTGCACTGCATGTACAAAAAAAAAGCTATCAGCCTCGATCAAACCTACAACGAGCTCGAAGGAAAACGCTGGCTTCATCGACGGCTTCGTCGTCGTCAGCCGTACGCTCCCCGGCAGTCCTCGTCGTCTTGATATGACAGGCGTCACCATCGCGTTGCTGCGGTATTGTTCCGTGGGTACATCTTGTACGTGGCGCAGCGTTGTACTCGTACACTGCGGGCCAGGTCCCGCATTTCTTGGCGACTTTCCCAATCGTTCGGTAATGGAGACAATGGCTCGTTTCTGCCAGAAATCTAATGCGATGGAACATTTGCCAACACGTGTGTGTCTGCGTGTGCGTGTGTGTGGCGTGTTACAAATATTATGCACAATGCAACATTGCACATTGGAACGTATGGCTGTCTTGCAGATGTAAACAGAATACTGTTATATAGTCGTGCAATACATCACATGGCTGTATTGTATGCGATGTACCATTGTGCTTATCACCAGATCACCCAGAAGAATGCACTCGATCACATCCATTCTCAGATGTTAAGCAGGGTAAGCCTCCATGTAACACTTGAATGGCAGACAGCCATGCAGGTGTTATAGGCAGCGGATATACATTATGGGCAGCAGAGGGGAAATGCAGCAAATTTGTTTTCGCGCTGTACTGAATGTGTTCCCTGTGTAGGCCAAGTCTCAATGACCCACGTGGTGACCTTATGGCCAAATAACTCCCACGACCCACGTGGCCGTGGGGAGGCCTCAATCTAGAAGTGGACTCGCAGAAGACGTGTACATGTGCAATACAGGTATACCGTTGTACGTACCGTGTGCCAATGTGCTTGCATACTGAGACTGTTGTATTTTTGTTTTCAAACCGCATGTCCCATTTACACTCGCTCTGTTGATGACTGTCAAGACACACGTGTCAACAAAGCCCAGTGCCTGTGAGAATCCATTGATTCACTCGTCACTTTGGTCCACGTCACATCCATAGAGTACGGATATGCACTGCGTAGGGGTGTGTGCTTTGTGTCCCCTTTGGGGAATGGCAGCACAAAGCCAGCGACCTACGTTTTGTTTCCTACTCGGTGGATGTCTGTGGCCAGAGATGAACCTGTCCTGGGCCTACCCAAGGTCGACTCAGCCTCAAATGACTACAGGGTGTTAAAATCAGCATTGGGGAAACATAGGGGATGGAGGTGTTTTACCAGTTGCAACCATTTGTGTCTGGACTTAATAGGTGCTTGCTGATAGAACTTGTCTCTGTGCCCCATAAGGTCAATGGAGGGATTGCTTGTCTTTATATGCAGTACAGTGCTGCAAAACTGTGTAGTGTGATACAGTTATTAGATACTCGACTCAGATAATAAAGACATCGAGAAAACATTGTATTCCAAATTCTCTACATGTCTCCCACTGTTCTCAATACACTCATTTCGTAATAACGATAATGCTTTGGTTTTATTCAAAGTGCCGCCGTTCATGCAAATTGCATCGTTGGGGGATCGCAGACAAACCAGAAGGCAGCAGCGAGGGAGGGAGCAGACCCCCCCCCCCATCCTCATTGATGTAAAGTGCCTTAAGATTTTAAAGACACTACATGAGCTGTAATTATTATTAAGCTTATCAATATTTACAAGTTGTTCACGATCTCCTTCTCTTCCTCTCTGCATCTATGCCCACTATAAAACATTGTGGGTACTGAAACAACCTCAAAATTCACAACAAAAACTCACTTACGTGATGTAAGTAGTGGAATTAAACGTGTGACAAGCGGCAACGTGGCAGTAAAATCGGCTTGACATCAGACAAATATTATTTGCCAATTTGTGCAAGAAGTCAACTATTTGGCCAGACTGGACGAGGAAAATGGCACCTCGAAAAAACAAATAACCACACAGCATTTTTATTTTTAAAAACACGCAAACCCCCTTCCGTTCATTCACTGCGAACGAACAACGTGACCAATCAAACACGAGTCAAGCGGAGTAGGCGGCAGAGCAAACGTAACGATTCGATAAAGAACAATAATTTACTTGTACATCTCGCGCCACGGCAAAACGTCGAATAATATGAAAGCTTGTCACGACGCTTACAAACCGTGTTTTAAATTACGTTCAAGAAACACACTTGCAGGCGATGAAAAATACTTTGTCATTATCACACAATCGCATTAACACGTGGGTATATCGAAGACACTGCTCACGTGTGATTTTTGAGGGCACTGCATTAGCTGGAGGAGTGCCTCCATGCTGTCACTTATAACTGTGCATACGTAACGAGGCAGTGCCCGTATCTTTTGTTGATTCTTCAAATCACTGATGTGAATCACTGATTGGCAATCACCAGCATGAATAATCTAACATATATTACCAGCCGCTGGCAGATGCAGCATATTTTTCATTTAAATGTAATTATTATTCTGCACCTCTCATATATCAAGATGAAATACGTAACTTTTCATATTTAAAACTGCCATGTTTAAAATATTTCGGGTATGTACTCTTTCATGTTTGACATTTTACACACGTGCTTATTGATGTTCCTCTTGTAGTTCACAATTTAGCTCTTTGAGCTCATATTTTCATCTAGCTCAAATAGTTTTGCGCCACGGTAGGTCATATGCTCCGACCTATGACCCTAATCCCGACCCGACACCTGTATATTTGGACTGTGCATGTTCTCCACGTGGCTCTCCCCGTGGCCACGTGGATTTTTCTCCGAGTCCTCCAGTTTTGCCCTCCACATTTAGAAACGTGAGTAAAAATTATATGGCTGCGACTATAAATTCCCACATATGATATTAATTTGTCTATCCCAATGAGCTATTTCCTCGTCAAATAGGGGACACCTAATAGGATTTTCAAATATCTTGAGTGGGACCACACACGAACACACACACGAACACACACACTTCAGCTACATCTGTCAGTCACTGCGAGATGCCCTTGCAGCGACAAAAGTGACCGAGCACGCTAAAATTGAAAACGCAAAGAGTTGGCGGGTCGAAAATATTCCCCTGCAGTACCCGATTAGTGCCGCTAAGATACCGTTACAGGGCGCGCGTGGCTGCGGGCCGCATTAAATGAAGTCGCCGGCAGCGTACGACCCACGGGGCCACGTGGTTCACCACCGTTGTTGTAAAATAACGACCTAGCCTCAAAAGCGATCCCAAGCTGTCCACGCCGCCAGATCTCGTGACGCTGCCACGCCCTCACAGCAGATACTCCTGCTCGTCCACGAGCCGCCCCGCTCGCAGCGATTCCGTCGCCCAATCCGCGTGCACAACGCGGAACAACTTGCCCGCGAGCCTGCGGCGCGCCGCCTTGATACGCCCGAGGCGCCCGGCGTCGTCCGCCAGCGACAGCACGTGTGACACGGCGACGCCGGCAGTGGGCGAGGAGGTGAGCACGGCTCCCCGCGCCCGCAGCCGCAGCCCCAGCAGCTCCAGGCTGCAGTTGGCGAGGGCTGTCGAGGGGTCGCCCACCTCCGTGTACATGTCCAGGTAAAAGACGCAGCGGCGGAACAGCACCGCTGGATGCCCGGCCCAGCCGTACCTGCGATCATTCATTCATGAATACACGAGCCAAGATTCAGCTCTCATTTGGCCGTTGTGGTTGGTTCACGTCCTGATTGGATAGTCCACTGTGGGTAGGGTTTGGTTGGAGGATTTTTCATGTGCTAGCAGGCCACGTGACGTCGCATGTCGTGTGTGCAATATCGGGACGTCACGTGGCGTCATGACGTCATATCGTCCGTACACATGACCGCTAATCCGGTGTCTCTCATCTCAACAATCTCTTGCTTACCTCTCATCATCTTAGCATCTCTTGTCTACAGCTCTCACTTGCCCATCTCACTTTAATCTCTTTATGTCTCAGTGGGCTATATCTTTCAGTAGGCCACTTCAACAGCCTTTGAAGGGTCAAATCTAGCTAGCCAGTTGCCAGATGAAGATCTCTGAGCCAGCGCACGACTCCTGTTGGCAGCGTGCTATTTCTCCCCGGAACACCGGGAACGCCCCCCCCCCCCTCCCGATGGCCCTTCCACCGCTGCCTTTCGCACGGCGCTCACCTCTCCTCAATGTCGGCGATGGTGCATGCGGGCACCGGTTTCCCCTTCCCGCGCTCCGCCATGCGGCCGAACACCTCGCGCAGCTGCGCATCGTCCGTCGGGGAGAAGTAGCTGTCGCCGTGCTCGTCAAACTCCTTGGTGTACTCCTGCTTTGTCTCCTCCGTCAGGTGCACCACGTGGCGCGGCTGCCACGGCACAAGCGAGCCCCTCTCCAGGCACTCCACAAGCCAGCCCGCTGAGCGAGTGTGCACGGCAGCAGCGACAATCAGCGAGCGGGTCGAGCCCATATTTCCACGCGACCACTGTGGACACCGTCAGCCCAGGAAAGGTGCCCATTCCTGGCCCAGGAATGGCCCTATACTAGCCCAGTACTAGCCCAGGAATGGCCCAGTACTGGCCCAGGAATGGCCTTATACTAGCCCAGTACTGGCCCAGTATTGGCTGGGGAATGGCCCATTACTGGCCCGGGAATGGCCCATTACTGGCCCAGGAATGGCCCATTATTGGCCCATTATTGGCCCAGGAATGGCCCGGTACTGGCCCAGGAATGGTCCATTACTTGCCCAGAATGGCCGGGTACTGGCCCAGGAATGGTTCATTATTGACCCAGGAATGACCCGGTACTGGCCCAGTATTGGCTGGGGAATGGCCCATTACTGGCCCGGGAATGGCCCAGTACTGGCTCAAGAATGGCCCGTTAATGGCCCAGGAATGGTCCATTATTGGCCCAGAATGGCCCGGTACTGGCCCAGGAATGGCCCATCATTGACCCAGGAATGGCCCGGTACTGGCCCAGTATTGGCTGGGGAATGGCTCATTACTGGCCCGGGAATGGCCCAGTACTGGCTCAGGGATGGCCCGTTAATGGCCCAGGAAGGGCCCAGTACTGGCCCAGGAACAGCGCCGGAGCACAGATCTGTGTAGCCCACACTCCGTGAGTTCATGAAGCTCCATGGCCTCAGCAATTCTTGCTAACTCCAGCGACCCGAGTTCAATACCCAGTCATGGCCAACATCAGTGGCAAGTGATATCTGAATTGTACTTAGAGACAGCCTCTTTACCAATCTGCACTGACCAGGCTGGGAAGTGTGGGCAAACAATTCCCATTACTGAAGTAGTGTTGAGAGGCTTTGATAAGTATTCAAGCAAGCAGTGGATTAATAAATCACTTACAAATTACGGTGCAAAAATTATGATGCAAAAGTTATAACACAGCTGAAAATTAAACCGACGCGCGTGCTGAAAATATTTGTATTATTTGTTCACCCAAAGATAATCGGGCGTGAAGTATGATCCACCCTACCCCGCCCAAAGTTGTTGGATTCACAGATGCACACCACCGCACTTAATAAAATCAGTTTCGTAAATCACAAGTGTGGTGAATAAATATATGCATAAAGGTTATTGCCTGTGCAGATGCGTTTAAAGTTATACATACAGCACCACTGTGTAACATCTGCCAACCTTGCCACTTAACCTATGGGGCCACCGTATAAACGAGCTACCAGCAGGAGTGGTGATGACCCACAGCGTGTACACATACAGCCCTTTGCACTGCCCTCTGCTGCCCAACACATAGCACTCAAAGCCACATGATACACTGTGGTCACCTATATCCAACCGCTATCCCAGTCTCAACCCTGCTCAGCTTCTGAGATCTGATTAAATCTGACGAATCGGGTGATTTGGTAATCGGCACACAACTTGAAGGTTGTCAAAATAACCATTGACAAAAAATATCGCGGAAAGAAAACCCCCGAGGGTCACAATTCCACATTTTAGTTTCGGAAGATGCAGCACACGAGCATCTGGCTCCGACGAGCCTTCAGGAAGGGACGATGTGGTAATTGAGCAATTGTGGCTAATTTTACCGAATTTGGTTTCCAGCCGCGGCCAAACAGTGGCCCCACTGTCGTGGCACAATGTCGGAGCATCGCTTACATCCGCGCAAATTATCGGACGCCACTCTCGCTCAATAACAACCCTGTGGGGGCATTGTCAACGGGCCGAGGGGTTGGACGCGAGCCAGAGGGAATCCTGGACGGAAAGGTGAGCACACACCGAGCACTGCTGGGCCATCGGCCCCCACTCCAGTCTTTGTTTACTGTAAAAGTAAAAATCCCGAGGCTTAAATGGGATATTTAATGTCACGTGCACCCACACAATAATGAACGTACACGCGGGATCGACAATCTCACAATGTCCCCCAATTTTAGGTCAATGCTGGTATGGCATGGTTTGTCTCGCCAACAAAAGAGCTACGCGAAACAAAATCAACGGAGGATGCGGTGAAGAATGATACACACAATCTTCACTGAAAAGAGTATTGACATTAAACTTGTTGACAAACGTGAAACTATAAACTGTAAGCTTCCTCCCAGTTGCTTTGCTTTCTAAACGTTATGACCACCATAGCACTTGGCATTTTGATTGTGATCTTCCTTAAAATAAGCAACAAGTTATCTCAATGATATCTTTCTAGTTTAGAATGAAGGTTATCGAATGCCCTACATGCCTATCTCTATCTACAGACTGACCTATCGGGCTATTTATATCCTATATAGATAGCCCAGTGGACCAACAGATAACAATTTGTATAGCCAGGTGAGTTATACATCTATGCTGTACATCTTTGCTGTGGCTGTCTCCCATAAGTGTACATCTACAGCCCTTTGTCAATCCACCGCTGAACGAGGGCCTCGCCATGTTGTGCGGGTTGTGGAGGTCATCTGACCATACTTCGCCACACTGGTCAGTGCGGGTCGGTGATGAGGCAGCAGAAAAGTAATGTACAAGTATGGATTGTGCTGCACTGCGCCCAATGCATCCACTTGTGTACAGAATTAACATTGTCATCGAAAACGCCAACTCAACAAATTGAAAGTAGAGCTGGGAGATTCCAGTGGGCATCAGCTTTGATTCCTACAATTCCACCTGAGGCTATTCCTACCGGAATCACTCTTCCTCCGTGGGGTGAATCTAATGTTCAAATCCCCATTCGACTGAATACGGATCCAACATTTATTCCACCGTGGAAGACCGATGCTCTAAAATGAGATTATAAGAATTGATCTTAATTATAATATAAGCTTTGATTAGCTTTAAAATACATTACCTTGAGCACAGTGATTTTTTTACTAAATGCCTTTCATTTATTTTATCACAAGTAATGGACATTCATGGAAATTTTATTTTATCGAATGCGCTTTGAGACGCCTTTAGTGATGTGCAGTGTGCTCCAGAAATAACTCGCGATTAAACAATTACATGATTATAATTTGTGGAATAATCTCATTGTAGTACGTGACTTTAATTATATTGGGATTTGATTGTGTTGCGAGCTTAAATAAGCTTCAGCTTTCATATCTATAAATGGATACTACGTCTTCTTCATAGATCTGCCTCTCCATGTGAAACAAAAAAGTGTTTTTTTCTTACGCAATTCATTGGTTCCACGGTCTTCTGGGAATGCATAACTTCAGCAGCATTGATTCCATGCAAGCAAAAATCGGTTTTGGCAAATTACTTTTATAATCCATTCGTAGTCAAATTAAGTTACGAAAACATCAACATTGATTTGGGGTGATTATTGCACAGATATGTAAGAGGGGCGGTGCAATGGTAGCACTCGTGTCTCATGGCAAAAAACGGGCTTGGGTTCGATTTCCAACTCGGGTGCCTTTCCGTGCGGAGTTTGTGTTCTCCCTCTGTTCTGTCAGGGTTTCCTCTGGATTCTCTACTTTCCTCGCTTGGCTAAAAAAAACACACTCTAACTGGTACTGGCCAAAAACATCCAAATGCTACCTGTAAATCTCTCAATGAGATTACACAACATCATCCATCCCCTACTACAGGACCCTACTGAAAATGGATCTTGAGACTCAGTGAGGCTTTCCTGGGTAAACAAGCAGAATCATAACAATACATCACGTAGATAAAATGACAAAGACCCCCGTATAGCCTAGAACAGACTGGAGGGGCAAGTGCTGTTAGCGAGTAGCACCTATGAATGCCGGCACGGCACACGAGGGCGTGGGTGACTTGCACCACGCTCGGCCGCCTTTGTCTCCCGAGTGGCGATGTTTACACACCGCACCAGGTACTCATTTGAGGATGCGTCGACCTAGGGGAGGCCCAGGGCTGGTTCAAACACTCGTCACTGGTGTTGGCATTGAGCGGAAATCGAACTCGGGTCGCTGGGTTCGTCGCGCAGCGCGCTAACCGCTACACATTAAAAAAAAAATGATACTCCAACTGATGCTCCTGCTGTTGCGGAGTGACTCATGCAGCCAACTATGGCTACAGGGTTTGGTGGTACATGTTGTTTATGTCGTTTATTGTGAAATTTCGGTCACAGTTCCTATGATCACTGTTACATTGCTTTTATGGCTTTATTTTGGTGATTTCGAAAAGTTTTTGGTTTGGCCATGTTTGTTTGTTGTAGTACGGAGTTAGACTGATGACTTTAATCTAAGGTGCCTTGTGGTTGTTGTTGTTTGACTTGCATCCCACTGGGATTTTTGCACACAGCGTTGGTGTACGGTGCTTTTTCTGGATTATTTTGCTGTTTTTTCCTGGATTTTCCGTTTGCGCAGTCACATAGTCACTTTAAGATGTTTTCTTGTTCATGTTTTTGTTTTTTGTTTGTTGCGGTTGCACCCGATTCAAGAGCTGAATGGCTCACAGGGCTATACCAAATAAATGAAACTGAAACTGAAAAACTGAAACACTAACGCTCACCACACCACGGCGCTTGTGCCACGTGAAATGTCGAATGCCCGCTGGCAGGAGGTTATGGGGCAGAACCAGGTGCCATGGGTCGACTGACTGAGATGACTGGCCGATGCACCACCTGTGCCCCCTACTGTGCCAACTTGCTGTGTTTTAGCCACCCAGCGCTCCGCTCGTTGTTTTGAGCGTCGCTCCTCTGCCCTCCGTTGTTGCTGGAGGGCGACTGCCTCCAACTGCCCAGTAGCAGCGTCCTTCACGAGCCTCCTCCACAGAGGCCGATCTTGACACCGCTGGTACCATTATGAGACCTCCTTTGCCAGTAACAAGATATAGGAATAGGTTTTACCCTTTTAACTGGCACAAAAACTGACACCTTTATTCAAGGCATCATGTTTGCAATAACCACAATACAAGCAGTCAAAATGCAAACAAAAAAGACAACTCTGATAATACGCCTTTTGGTGTCTTCTGGTCCACCACCAATGGAGACTAGTCTCTAAGAAAAGCCGTCTCGGGTGTGGACCAATCAAATTCAAGGACAGTGCATATTATTATCAGAGTTGTCTTTTTGTTTGCATTTTGACTGCTTGTGTTGTGGTTATTGCAAACATGATGCCTTGCATAAAAGGTGTCAGTTTTTGTGCCAGTTAAAAGGGTAAAACCTATTCCTACCGCTGGTACCACATCACTCCATCTCTTCTCTAGCCCGTGCCGTGCCCGTTTAGCGCCCCTCTATTGGCACACACACACACATGCACACGCACGCACGCACGCACGTCCACGCGGGTTGCCTTGCGCGGGGCCCCACCTCTGATGACGTCGTGCTTGCTGGCCCCGATGACGTTGCGCACGCGGGCGGTCAGGACGTCCACAAGGACACAGTAGGTATCCAAGCCCGGATTCTGTACGATGAAGCCACCGCACTCCGCCACGCGCCGCTCCAGCTGAGCCTTCGGGTGTTCCGCCGTGCCGCCCATCACACACACCTCCACGTCTTGGAAGAGCTCGCTCTTGCGCTCCACCCCAGAGAGGTCCTGCGCTGTGGGTATCAAAACATTACAATTTAGTGGCGTGCAGTGTCTAAATCTCAGCCATATTACAAAGACACGACATAGAAAACATGGGCATATTTATTTTATGGTCAGTCATAGAAGGGGGCGGAGAGTGGAAGGACATTCCAGACTAAATTGAAAACTCATTCTCAATTGAAAACTCATTTCTTTAGAACTGCTTTTTGTGTTCGTTTGTTTCCCATCCCCCCGCACCTCCGTTAAGCACGGTTGGCAAACGTACGGTACGAAATAAGTTCAACATACAATACATAAACGTACGCAACTTACAAATAACACAAGAGAAATGCGTTGTGGGTTATCGTGTTATTCCAGGAGACATTTGCCTCCATTCACTGCCAAGTGTAGGCACAACCTAGAGATCTTCAGCCACCTCTATAAACTAATTTTTTTTTATTTTATTAGGTAAAGCTCACTGAGCTATGTAGCTCCTTTCAAAAGCAACTTGGCCACAAATGATGGCTCAACGAAGTGGCTTATCATGTGGAAATGTATGGTCGCCAAATACTCTCAACGCATGTTTCTAAATTAGGAGGGGAAAACCGGAGGAACCGGAAAAAAATCGACACGACCACGGGGAGAACATGCAAACTCCATATATACAGATGTCCAGGGTTGGGATCGAACCCATGACCTCTTCCAAACGAGGCGACGTAGTTAACACCTCGCCACCGTCGCACCTCTGAACCGCTCCTGCACAGCGATGGTGCGGCGAGACCCCGGGCCGGCAGCGGTGGCCGCAGCGCGACGCCGCCGCTTCTTGTCGCTGTCTCCGTCCCCGTCGGCAGTGGCGGCGGCGTCCACGTGGCGCTTGGTGAGCCGCCCGGCGGCCCGCAGGGCCCGCAGGCCCGCCAGCGTGAGGCACTCGTGCCACGCCTTGTCGTCCCGGATGCGCTCAATGCGCGGGAAGCGCAGAGTGCAGCCGGTGCGGTACTGGTCGCTCGCCACGATCTCCGCCGCCCGCACCTGGGTTTTGTTCACGAAAAATGATATGACGTTGAAAAATTATATAATCGTCGCTTGCGTGCTAGCTGCACTAACTGGCCACTTGAAGGAAATATGAGATTGATTGCGGTGGACCCTTGAGTGCCGGGATCGCCAATCAAGCCGACAGCTTCACGTTGAATTCTGTCAAGTTAATTGAGAAAATAACTGCATGCTTCATCGCATTAGTCCAACTTCAGCAGAATCTGCTCTCTATAAAATTAATAATTGTTCGGAATTAAAGAAGGCTTGCTATGATTGTGACCCCCCCCCCCGCCCCCCCCTCCCCCCCCCTGTTACAGACGGACGAGACAGCGCGAATGCGTCAACGCCGTCAACCTCCGTTTGAAAGCGTTTATAACTACGTCCGCCTCGTAACGGGCACCATCACCACAAGTGACACCGCCGTCGTTGACTTAATAAGAATGATTTGTCATCGTAATCGTCATCGTAATCGTCATCGTAACCGTCGTCGTCACCTTCGGCGCCATCGTATAAACACCACCGTGAACAGCGTCGTGACATGGGCGAGGGAATGTGAAGAGGAAGGGGATGTATGTAGCTAAATAATCCCTCATGCTGTGTTCCCTAAATTATAGCCTTACTGGCCATGTGACATTTGACCAATGGCCCGAGAGAGCGCCCAATCTCCTTACATCTCGGAGTAGGATCAGCATTGAGCCCGGATAGTGACTAGCCCTGCACGGGAGGAGGCGGGGGGATATGTGGAGACGAGTCGAGGGTAGTGCAGTAAAATCCATCGTTGCAAGTGTTTTGCCTGAAACTTAAAAGCTAAGTAGTGCATTAGGCTGACTTTACCCCATGAGTGACATATCACCCTCTGGGGGGTAATTTTTGGGGGCCTATATTCCAAAATGTCGGTTTTAAAGCTTTTTTTGTAGTTCTAAGCATAGATTCCATTACATTTGTGCGAAATGTCAGCTTTATATCCCTTTTAGAACGTAAACAGATTTTACATTAACACTCAGTCAAGATCGTGATTTAGATTAAGCACTTTCAGCAGGAGGGCACAGATTAAAAATAAAAGACTTGTGGTGTAAATGAGCTCTTACAATAAATATACTATCTTGAGGTTCATCGCCACGTACGGAGCACTTGGCATGGTCACAACAGCGTCGCATCCACAACGCCCTGACAGACCACACTGGTCAATATGCGGTCCTGTCTGTAGGAGCGGGAGGCGTACTGACGCACGCAGTTCATGACCTTACACACGGCAGCAGCCACCAGTGAATGCTTTCGAGTTTGTTCCCAGCCTGCACTCTCCTCGCACCTCCGATTAGCACGGTTGGCCAAGTAAGAGTGCAAAGGAAGTTTAACATGCATACACACACACTTTCCCAGTCTCACGCATTTCTCAACATATATACAGAAAGTGTTGGAAAACTTAACACAGGTTAAATCTTGACTTAAAGCTTTCGTGACTGCTGGAATTCATATTCTTTGGGTCTTTCGGTAAAGTCACGTAGATAAGTAATTTTTTTGTTATTTTCTTTGAACCTATCTACGTGACTTTATCACCCTTAGGCCATGCCAAAGTTGTATCCCCACAGTGACCAGGGAGGGGTAGTCCACACAGATACCTGGGACACACGGTGGTAAAAAAAACAAGTGGCTATGCAGTTCTGATTATTCCTAGGCAAGGGTGAAGACCGGTATATAGTTGTCCCATTGTCCTGCTGCTGCTGCCTAAAATATGGTCACGAAATTGAGCGTCTTGAGTTGCTCTAAACAAGACTGGGAGCATTGTACACGCATTATGGAGACTGTGACGGGACATGCAAGGCATGACGGGAGAACCAATCCAATGGCCACAGGTGCACCTTTCTGCTGTGTAGAAATCCCTTTAAGCGTGTATTGCGACTGCTCGAGTTTCTCGTCGTTGACAGAAAACGTTTGAATTTGTCTACAAATCAACACCAACAACGACAAATCGGTAACTTAAAAGCTGCCCACCTGCACGACGACCGCGTTGCACGGCTCCAGGTACACCTCCGGCTTCTCTGTGGCGCACAGGATGCAGCCGGGTGGGTCCTTGCGCCGGTACGGGCGCCAGTGTGGTGCCAGCTTCAGGCCCAGGTCGTAGAGCTCCTGCATGGTGTAGCCCGAGCCGACGCGGCACAGCGTGTGGAACACCGCCGGCCGCTCCCCGTCCTCCGCCACCTCCGCCACGGCACACAGGAAGTGCGACATCATGCCGCCGCGCCTGCCCTTGCCCCAGTAGCCGCCGACGATCAGCAGGTCCAGCTCGTCCATCAGGTCGCCCATGTACTCGGGCTTGATCTTGTACCAGCCGTAGCCGCGCTTGTCCGGCTTGTAGACGGACGCCGGGTCCTTGATCATGATGCCCTCCTCGCGGCTGTCAATGGCGTCGTTGAGGGCGTCGGCGACGTCGCCGCGCGTGCGGATCTCGCGCTTCTCCACCGCCCGCAGGCGCCCCTCGACGGGCGCGAAGGTCTCGCGCAGGAGCTCGTCGCGTCGCCGCAGGGGCTCGCCTGTCAGCCGCTGCCCGTTGAGGAGCAGCACGTCGAAGACGCAGAAGCACGCCTGCAGCGGCGAGTCGGCGTCGGCCCCGAGGTGCTTCACGTCGAAGCGGCCGCCCTTGGTCACGAAGGTGGAGGAGCGCGCGTTGTAGCCCATCATCTCGCCGTCGAGGATCACGCTGGAGACGTGCGGGGCGAAGGCGGCGTGCACGAAGCGCGTGAGCGAGCCCTCGGTCGGTGCGCCGCCGAACTGCGCCGTGTACTCGAAGCCGTTGCGGGAGAAGTACCTGAAGGGATCGGAGGAGGGGAGTGGGGGGGGGGCACCTCTTTAGGACAGCGCTTGCGACTCGCTATTCATTCGTTCGTTTACGAGCCCAAACTGCTGTGTTGATGTTCCCCGTGTTAACGATAAGGCGAAGGGAACGCCATCATTAAGTACGCCACACAACTGCGATAAAATAAGGCATGCAATACATTGTGTTGAAGTCGTAGCTTTTAACAAATTGGGAGCCTTTGGAATGTGTTACTACACACAATGGCTTAAACATTAATATTACGTTCCACGCAGACTTAACATTTATTCAGTTCGACAATAATTAACTCCAATATATAATTCACAGGTTTATAACAACGACCTCGACCCACAAAGTCTCATTCTGAAAAAAATAATGTTCAACCCCTCCCCCGGATTGTCTGTCCCCCCCAATTCAACTAACGTTCTGCTGCGGGCCTTTGTTCATGTGTACAGCAAAAATCTGAGAAAAATATTTTTCATGAGGGTGCCCATTTGGGATGTGGGTGGCGCGTTCATGCAGCGGTGAGCGCACGATGACATGAACCTACCACGGTTAACGTGAGTGACCAATGAAATCAGAAATGTTCTAGATTTGAAGCTTTCGTGACTGCAAGGATCCATACTCTTTGGTTCTATTCGGTAAGTTACGTAGGTAAAAAATGAAATAAAACAATAAAAAAATAAAAATCACGTTTCGGCCACAAGTGGACTTCATCAGGTGAAGGGACCGGACTGTCAAGAGGACAGCGTTGACAGTCCGGTCCCTTCACCTGATGAAGGCCACTTGTGTTGTGGCCAAAACATCGTGATTTTTATTTTTTATTGTTTTATTTTATTTTTTACCAACGTGACTTTACCGAACAGAACCAAAGAGTATCAGAAATGTTCCTCGCACACCCCACCACTCCCTCACCAACTTGGTTATTACCATTGCTGCTGCCTTCTACGGTGGCCACACAGGGACCTCAACTTGGTGGTCCAGTTGGCAGAAAGTCCAAACGGCTTTCCGAATGAATATCTCCTCTTTGGGCGTCGTTTCACTCAAAGTGACGAATCAACGTGACGGATCGCGCTTGGGGGGGTTGTGGGTGGAGGGGGGGAGGCACCTGTAAACGTCGCCGTCGCGATGCAGCTGCATGCGCTCTCCGTCCAGCTTGGTCTCCACATAGAAGGGCTGGTGGCTCATGAGCCGCTCCACCCGGTCCATCTTGCCCACGGCGCCCAGCATGGGTTTGAACGCCGAGAAGAGGCGCACCGATTGCACGTCGTCGCAGCTCGCCGCCGGGTCGTGCAGCTGCCGGCACACCTTGTGCAGGTCCACCGTGACCCCGTAGAGGTCGGCGGCGTCCGCGTGGAACAGGTCCAGGATACTCTGCTGGCTCAGGCCCATCTTCATCTCCTTGAGCACCATGCGGATGAGCCACTTCTGCTCCAGCGCCGACGTGCTGCCCAGCAGCGTCAGCAGGCTCGTCTTCACCCGCTCCTTGCTCTTGGACGCGTTGCCCGAGGCCAGGGCGTCCAGCTGGCGGTTCACCTCCTCCACGGTGAGCGTGCCGCCCGCCGAGCAGCGGGGGCGCAGCACGAAGTAGGCGACCGATGCGAAGTCCCCCGCGTCGCCCCGCTGGGCGCCCCCCACCGGCGCCCGGTAGTTGAGCAGCCGAGCGGCGTCCTTCCCATCTCGCGGGAGTCCCAAAACCTCGAGAGAGTAACAAGAAAGAATGCTTTTCGATTTAAAGCTTTCGTGACTGCAAGGATTCATCTTCTTTGGTTCTTTCGGTGAAGTCACGTAGAATGAGAATAAAATAAGAAATTAATAAAATAACACAATAAAATTCTCACGACGCTCCAGCACGACGCTCCAGCGCTGTCCTCGAGGCAGTCTCGTCCCTTCACCTGATGAAGGCCACTTGTGTTGTGGCCGAAACGTCGTGAGAATTTTATTGTGTTATTTTATTAATTTATTATTTTATTCTCATTCTACGTGACTTTACCGAAAGAACCAAAGAAAAAGAATGCTTTCTTTGACACCAGCGCTTGCAATCGAGAGCTCGACGTTTTGAATCGACCTGCCATTTTCACCCATTTTCATATATCTCTCCCAGGTTCTTCGAGCGTTGCTCAATGCAATGGACATCTCAACTCTACTGCAGCTTCAGGAGTGCTGCTTGTTACTGGTCGCTTGGCTTTCTGGGCCTTTTGGTCTGTGCTCAACAACCGTCATTGCTGAACAGACTTCCAGCAAAAGCACCGACAATAATAGTTGAAGCAACGATGGTAAGAGGCAGTCAAAGTCTGCATGAAATGTGGGTACTGAAGGCATCATTCAGGAGGCATTGGAATAAAGACTGACTTGGACGCAATAACAACAGCTCGTCTGTCAGAGAAAAAGGTTGACGACTCAAGTGCTCGTGGTCTACGAACCTATCGGACACCATAAAAAAACTATTCGGGGCAAGATGATAGTGGTTAGCATAGTGGTTAGCGCACTGTGCAAGGAACCTGGTAACCAGAGTTCAATTCTCGGTCACTGCAAACGTAACTTGTGAGTCGTCTTGGTGAGTAATCTTTAAAAAGAAAATTCAGAGTCAAAACATCATAAACAGCAAACTAGAAGAAACAGAAAAGCATTTAGGAAGGATGTAAAACATTTCACGAAGAGACAGGGTGAGTAACATAATTGTATTACATACAGCAGGTCCAAAAAGAAATGTATAACAATCACAGAAAGTTAGATTTCTAGAAGGTGCAATGAGCAAACTAGAGCATGAATGTTTTGACTGGGAAAATTAGAGGCGCAAGAAGCCAGGGAAGACAGCGAATTTTAGTACAAAACAAACTGGAACAAATGGATGCAATTGTGAGTATCCAGTGCAAAGTGCTTTAATAATATCATGGGCCGAGCTAAATGGAAGAAGGCCATGACCGCCGATGTGTTTGAGGACATGGCACAGAGAGAGAAACAGCAAAACATCTTAAAAGCAAACGCAATCCTCGTGCAACAAACAGCGACCGTTGTGGCATCATCAAGGGGTTCTCAAGCGCCCACAGATTGTTCACCTTCCGCGCACACCTCCGATGAGCACGGTTGGCTCCGTCCGGCGCGAAAGAAGTTCAACATACCATGCGTACATACAAAACATTTCATGAAGTGACCACCTCGATATAGAGCTTGGCGAGCGCGCTCTCCTTCACGCCGTACGCCACGCGCTCGCGCTCCAGCTGGGGCAGGACGAGCCGCATGGCCGGGTAGAAGGAGTCGGTGGTCGTGGTCGTGGTGCCGGCATCACCGCCGTGGTGCAGGGCGTTGTGGAACTTCCTCCAGGCGCCGAGGAACTCCTTGAAGTGACGCTCCTTCTCCGGCCGCGCCTTGCTGGACCTTATCTTCTCCAGGGTCTTGCACAGTTCGGCAAAGGGCACCTTGGAGGCCACCGTGATTGACGCTTCGGTCGATGTTGTTGCCGTTGCTGCTGAAGATGCCATGTTGGCCGGTTTTGGGATTGCTTTGTTCAGTTGTATTGGTATTCGTGTTAGTCTCTCGGACTTTCAACATGTTTTCGCCATTGGCCGTCTTCAACGGAGCGCAAGTTTCGTGTAAATAAGATTTGTTTTTGCTCTAGTAAGTTTGCACATTCCCTCCCTTTAGACGGTCTTGGGCTGCGGTCGTCATTTTAAAAGAGCTGCTCTGCCCAGTGGGCCTTACCAACTGGGATAAAGTAAAGAGTCCGAGGTTGTTCTTTAATCACCTGAAAGGGACATCAGACATGCAAACAAGAACACAGACATGGGAATTAAATTCGATGGGTTTTTTCCCATTTTAATGGCTCTCAAAAGTTGAGGCCAGAAGTCATTTCCAGGAAGATCAGAGAGAAAAAAACATATTTAGCCACGGCGACCATCATAACGGCAAATGTGTTCGAGTGAAACAAATAAAAATACAAAGTTAAACATCATAACTGCAAACATGGCAACGAATACCAACAGCTAATCCAAACAACAAACATCATAACCATTTGTGTTTTCCAGTGCAACAAACAAAACAGAATAACAATCATAACGGCAAACAAACAACTCTCAAAATTAATTGTAATAGAAATTTTAAAAAATGCAGTCATTACATTTTACCCTTACGTTGCGCTGTTCGCAACGCACACGTTACTACATCAAAAAAAGTTGCATTGAATGGGTTTATCGCCACGTGATTTGTCTCCAAAGCGTCGTGAATGAATGTAAGACGGAGTGAATATTGTCCGGTGAATGAGGTGGCCCTCCGTATGTCATAAAGGAGTTTTAAAACGAACACAAAAAAGTCACACCACTGATGTGGCTCACGACTACTTACACTAATTACTGACTTGTCAACACCGACAGTATATAATTACACTTTTCATTAAACTCACGGGCGTAGATGCGATGGCGACAAATATACACAGAGTTTCGTGAGAAAACGATTTCCTGTATTGGATGTAATCAGCTATTTGATGCCTTAACGTAGCAGTCAGCGAGTTAATGATTACTAATGAATAACATACAGCATTCACGGCTGCAACTTTTTTTTATTGATCTTAACGTTTGTTCACTGTACATTTAGCAGTGGGCGACCCAAGGCAGAATACGCATTGTTGTTGTGTCCGCACTTTATACGCCAACTCGCACCGACCAGAACGGTGAAGTATGACAACAAAAACAACCGCCACACACCCCGCTCGAGACGCAACGTGGGGCGACGAGGATCCTCATCCAACAGCGGACTTCACAAGTAGTGCCGCACGCAACACTTTGAGCAGCTGGCGATGTTGGGCAATTCCGTGAACAATTAAAAGCCTCGCATCTGCCCGAGAGACGCACAAACCACGCGAATGTTTCGTCGGCTTTAAACGAGGGCGCCCCATTCGCCTCTTCAGCGCCAATGCGTGATTACACGTGTTACGCGTGTTCACACAATGTTATTGATTATCACTACATGCTGTTGTATACATCTGAAATTACGAAAAAGTCAACGTTGGACTTACGAGGGGCTTGACTCCTTCCTGTTCCGGATCAAGCCATAACGTCACCTCCACGCACCCCTGTTCTGCGCACTTGGTACAGTCGTCGCGTATTGAATACATCGCGCGGTGGGCCTGTCCATGTCATTAAAGGGGTGGGTGTGGGGAAGTCAATAAGTGGGGGCTGAGTTCTCATTCATTTAGCCCGATGGTGAAACAAACCTCGCTCTGCTGATGAGAAAACTGAATGTCGAAGCCGGCGCAAGAGTGTTGATGTATATAAACAAAACACACAAAGCTACTGCTAAAAAAAAAACTCCATCCCTGCAGTGACAAAATAAATATCCGTCGACGTGAAAAATAAGTGATGATTGTACGCGTTCCATCAGTCGGCACGAATCTGCCAATTTTAGTCTCTTCTCAAGAGGCCCCGATCGCTTCGGAGAGAATTGGAGCGGTCAAGAGTGGCAATGTGTGTCCACTCACTTGGGGGGGGGCTTCATCCAGCAGTGGATTGACCGTGGCTAATGATGATGATGATGGGTTCATTGAGCCCCCTCCAGCCACTGGAGGTCGCTCTATTCACAGCGATGCCGTGATATAACAGAGATGCAGTATTGTATGTCTATTTAAATTGACATACAATACTGCAGCAGAGGGCAGCAGAGCACAATCCATCGTTGTACAATACTTCTATGCGCTCCGTCTGTGCACCCCGCCCTGTCCAGCGTGGTGAAGTATGGTTACACTACCCCTCTTCTAGAAGGACTGACTTTTTACGGACTCACACCCATGTGTGGCTGGATTTTTTTTGAGCGCGTAACATTTGCGAAGCGTAAATATTTCAATTAGGCCTGGATTTTTTCGTAATTTTTAAAGGTCAGTTAAAATGTATATTGAACTAAAGTTTTGGAAATGTTGCATTCGGTTTAGAAGTCCAATTTGCGACACGCATTTACGACGTCTATATAAGGCCAACCGCGGCTCGATTTACGACGTCTGTGTAAAGCCACCTGCGGTTCGATTTACGACGTCCATATACGGCCGTCCGCGGCTCGAGTTACGACAGCCGCGTAAGGCTGATCGTGGCTCGATTTACGACGTCTAAGGGCAATCGTGCCTCGATTTACGTTTATGTAAGGCCACTTACGACTCGATTTACGACTCAAAAACTTCATTAGCGACCCATTTCCCAACGCGACTTATGAACACGTTTGAACAGTTGGACCTCATGGCGGTACCCCGGGGTTCCATAGTGACCCCGGCTCTCGCATAATGTCCGTGATGCAGTCATTCTTAGTCTGTCGATGGTCGGCGATGCAGCAATCGACTCATCTCGACGGGCTGGACACTACGATGCACCACTACGGTGCGTACGGGAGCGTTCAGGGTTTCAGCGCAATCGACCTCACTGCGTGTCGACATCGTGGAGCGTGGCACCGATTTCGGATTAATTTGTACCTCAGTCGCGGAGTGAAATACACCCCTGGACAAAAATAGTGTCCCAGATATAAAATATTTAATTGCCTCGGCGTATTATTTGGTACCCCAGGGTACCGTCATAAGGATTAGTTGACGTTTCTACCGTGCGACATTGCAGGAGAAAGTCCCCGTGTTTATTTCTTCAAAAGGAAGAAAAGTAATGTAAAAACGTATGCAAATTTATTTGTGTACATTTTGCTAAAAATATTATGTTAACTTAACACTTCTTGCCCTATAATAATGTATAGCACAGGGGGACTGTTCTCTAACATGGTGTAGCATTCGCAATGGTTTTACTATACAATTCTTAACGTTATTGTATATTAATTCCCGAGGGTAGTTTAGATTTTACTATTGCATATAATACACATCATGGGGCCTCCTTTGCCAGAACCATTCAGTTTGGTGTTTTAACATCTTTAAACCCGTTTGGTTGCCAGAAAAAAGGGGGAAACCCCTATCATGCACACAAGTACCTTTAGCTGAGGCTTCGTAGGATAGAATTGAAGCTAAAAGGCCCCAAATCGCCGCCCGACCTAGGAGATGAGGGAGGGCCCGACTGCAGGACTCCTTTTGAAGCTTTCATGACTGCAGGCTTATATCTTCTAGTTAATAAAATCTTTTAAAGTACTGCTGCGTTAATTCGGGTTATCTTTGATCAGCCCATCTCCACAGACACACACTGCTTGGTCATCGCTAATCTCACAGCCCATTACCGTGACCCATACAGGAGGAGTGTTGAGGCCATCACCATAGCCTCGTTTTTTTTGTTTTATTTTAATAGTTTTACCCAGGACTTAATTTCAGCCGGATCAGTGACTCGGAAAATAGTGATCCTACTAACAGCCTAACGATAAAAACCAACAAGATCATCACTAGTTCGACTTCCCTAATCGAACCATACAAACTTCCCTCCCTAAAACCCTCGGCTGCAAGACCTCCCAGATTCTATGGTCTTCCCAAGATCCATAAAGAAGGTACCCCACTACGACCCATCATGTCCACGATCAACTCTCCTACCTACAAACTAGCCCGTTTTTTTATCGAACACTCTGCTTCCCTTCACTGGCAAGACCACCTCAGCAGTACTTAACTCAACCCAATTGGTTTCTATGGTCAAGGACATTATACTGTCTTCTGACGATATCCTCGTCAGCTTTGATGTGGTCTCTCTGTTTACCAAGGTCCCAGTGCCTGACACCATAACAATAATTGAAGATTTGGTCCAACATGGACTGAACCCTGACGTACCTGCGCTGGTTAGGCATTGCCTCACCAACACTTACTTTACCTGGAATGGTACCTTCTACAAACAAAATGAGGGTACCCCTATGGGCTCCTTCTTGTCACCAGTGAAAACCATTGTTTTCATGGAGAAATTTGAATCAGACGCCATCCAGACATCCACCCTTCGCCCTTCCCTATGGAAGAGATATTGTGGATGACACTTGTCATCTGGCCACATGGCCTCCCAGCATTTAACCATTTCCTAAGCCACATTAATTCCAGACACCCATCCATCAAATTCACCATGGATGTGGAGAAAGATGGCAAGCTGCCATTCTTGGATGTTCTGTTTGAGAGGAGGACCGATGGCTCTTTGGGACATTCTGTTTACAGGAAGTCCACCCACACAGACTCCTACTTGAAGCCTGATTCCCACCACCACCCGACTCAAAAGAATTCTCTTATCAAAACATTATACCATAAGGCTGATTGCATTTCTGACCAACACCACCTGGCCAGTGAATTAAAACATGTACATCTGGCCCTCAAGATGAACGGATACTCTGAGCGTACTATCCGCCAAGCTGTTTCTCCCAACATACAGAAACAACCACCTGATACTCCGATCAAAATCATCACGTTACCATATATAGCAGGCGTTACCAAAAAGATTTCCAAAATTCTAAACAAACACAAGATCCAGGTCCGGTTCAATACAGTACACAAAATCCGTGATCTGATCCCATCCGTAAAGGATGTCATTCCTGACTTACAGTACCCCGGTGTTTACAAATTGAGTTGTACCTGTGGTGACTGCTATATCGGGGAGACGAAACGACATATTTCTGACCGAATTCGCGAGCACAAATCAGATTTGAAACATGGCAGAACGAATTCTTCGGTCGTGGCTGATCATTGTTTCAACACAGCGGGTTCTCATGACATTATTTTCTCTGATACCAAAGTTCTCTGCAAACCTCCCGGTTATTACCAAAGATTTGTCCATTAAGCCATCCAGATATACAAACATAGACACAACTTCAACCGAGAGGATGGTTTCAAATTGAGCAACCATTGGAAAGATTTTGATTTAAAGCTTTCGTGACTGCAAGGATTAATCTTCTTTGGTTCTTTCGGTAAAGTCACGTAGAATGAGAATAAAATAATAAATTGATAAAATAAAATAACACAATGAGAATTTTATTGCGTTATTTAATTTTATCAATTTATTATTTTATTCTCATTCTACGTGACTTTACCGAAAGAACCTAAGAAGACAGTGGAAAGATGTTATAAACCAAGTCAAACGTTAACTGCCTTATAATTGTACAGCCATTTCCATTGCTTTCTAACAAAAATGTGGTTGTACTCGCCCCCGTGTAGCACGCCATCGAGCCCCCTGCAGCATAGCAAAAGGCGGCTTAACTTAGCCCTCCTCCCCCCCTCTTAACCTGCATATAATCCCGATCATCTCAACAGCTCCCCACTTGGCACAGCTATTCTGCTGTGACTGTTCCACCTGAAGACGGAAGCTTGTGTTGCCTCCGAAACGTCATGATTTAATTTAGTTTTATTTTATTTTACCTACGTGACTTTACCGAAAACAACAAAGAATATGTCAGTACCCGCCTGCAAGTGCTTTACACGGTCATGGACAGGGTTGTTTGCAAGTCCAGCACCACTACTGCCACCTCTGCTCACTGTGCCCGGCTGAGCGAGGTTCCCAGGGTCTGTTTGAAGAATGTGGTTGCTCGTGCTTGCGTTGCGTTTGTTGCTCCTACCCCATGCTCCTACCCCATGGAACGCTCTACCAGCCACACAGCAGAGTGGAAGGCTTGTCCCTTGTCCGTGGACATTCTGAAATCTGCACAGGGCCCATACTTTCTTACCCTCCCCGTTCCGTGAGTCGAGTTTTAAGACCCGCTGGTATAGCTGCTAGATCTTCAACGTAATTTACTTTTTATGTTGAGTACAAGCGCTTTAAAAACACTTTGTACATTGAGCTTTTTGGAAATGGAAAATAATGTATTATAACTTCAACGATAAAATCATTAGACAAGCAGGAAGGCAGCCATGTAATGAGCCGGTACCAACAATCGGCCAAGCTCTGCAGCCCTCTATATATTAAGGGATTGTCAGACAATTAATGAATGTTTACATGCGAAAGAAATCAGAGCACCCGGAGAAAACCCACACGTGTTAAAAAGGAAATATGCAAGACGGAACAGGTGAGAGTCCACATTTTTGCTCTCTCGTCTTCTACTGGCGAGCCATGGTATGGCAACCTCGACGCACAGGAACGGAGTTTCACAATATTTGTCCGATCTCGCTGTAGCCGGCAGTTCTCGACTCCAGGCTACGTGCATAGCCACCACCGCCCGGCCGTGATTGATGGGTGTGGATACAAGTCACGTGCCGCCTGCTCCCAATATATTCAAGCGACTCGGAAAATATTCAGTAAGGCCTTAAACCCCGGTTATCCCTTCAGCATTCCAGATCTTATTAAGTTTTTCAAATGCTGCTGCGGGTTAGTCTTTTTAACTTCGTACACACAATTTCCCCTGCATGATATATCCGGCCTCCTTGGTATATAAATGTATGTACTTGCTCCAGGTTGTAATCTACCATTCACATTTTAAGTTCTTCCTCCCGTCTTCCATCTGGCATCGCATATTTTTTTTCATTATGTTGATCTTCAGTTCATCAGTTTTTGTTTTCCTTGTCCCTTCTACTTTTGGCAGCGAAACGTTCACCCCACTCACCACATTCATTTCGTACCCTGCAAGGTGACCTCTTGCCGGCGCGTCGACAGCGAATCGCGCGCGTGGATGTTTTTTTTACTGCATTCATGTTTATTTTGCACAAACCATTTTTCGATTTGTGCGTGTGCGTGCCCAGCTACAATGTCTCTATTTTTCTATGCGTTGAACCCAGGTCCCTCCCTTGATAACAAGGCTTGTATCAATGCTCAATAGAGACTCTGACGTAGCAGGGTTTGGCCTGGTTAGTACTAGTGAATGGTTTAGGGCTTTCCAGGCGTTGTAGGCATGTGGCTGCAAGGTGTGACAAGACGGGTTTTGTTTGGTATGCGATTTGTTGTGCTGGTTGTACCATTATGTTGATGCACGGCCATGACTTTGGAACGTGACCCTGCACCGTTGTGTTTTCATTGTTTTGTTCTTGTTCATGTGCTGTAAGCAGGTTTCTGTAACCCGATATCCATCTAAAATTAGCATTTATGGGTTTTGTTCGTGCCAACAATAAACTCAAACCTAAAGGAGATGGCAGTGGTGGGTACCATCACCCCCTCCGTATTCTGCCGAGTTTTCTCCAGGTTCTCCAACTCAATGCCAAACTCATTCGTATAATTAGCAAAACCCAATGCAGGACGAATCATTTTTTAAAAGTCTTGAGAGAAAAAAAAATCTTGATTTAAAGCTTTCGTGACTGCAGGAATTCACACTCTTTGAGTCTTTCGGTAAAGTCACGAGTAAGAGTCTTGAGACTCAATGATTTTCTGGTTAAATAATAATTGGCATATTCATATATACTTCGTGAACGTTACCGACCGGCTAGCGTATTACCGAACAGACCATCACTCCACAAAATACACAGCACAAGAGTTATGGTTCAAGGGTCTAAATGGTAGCCTGTATTGCATGACAATTGAAATCATTTATCAGTACTCGGTTAGTACACATGTTCATAGCGACTGTATATGTAACCGTGTAATTAGTCCAGACAATTTTCCAAAACGAAAAAAACCCCACTATGATATCCTGATACAAAATTGAACCAAGCGCTATCTAAAAATACCATAACCATTTATTAAACACGATAAAATACATTTCTCAGAAATATTTACGAGATATAGTTATCACATTCACTGGTACATATTTTAATTTTCCCACGAAAAAAATATTTTGGTTCAACTCTACACTGCACATCACAGCAATAGGCGAGTACACTGACACAGCTGGTGAGTGAATATTTGTAGCTGTGATCATCAAAGTGCTGATGTTTAGATGCTTGTATGCGCAAGGGTATCTCCATGTGTGTGTTTGTGCATTACAGGATGACCGTAATTTCGATTCGAGCTTAACGATACATAATCACAACACAATTACAAAAAGAATATTTCCGCAAAGGACATTTTCCAAGTGACCATAACCATAACATAAATCCTATATTGAAAGAACATGAAATGGGACCCAGAGGCATACTTAATAATAGTAGATAGAAGACACTGCACATCTTATTCACAAATTATATTAAATATACTTCTCATCTGAAATTATGCCAATACTGTATACCTTGATTTATGATTGTATTTTGGGTTAGACCACGTAATCACCAATCATCTGGCCATGTGTCATAAGACCTTCCTCCAACCGGCATTGTCAAATCCCACCTGACATCGGGTAATGGGGAGTTGTTACAATGCACATTTGGCCAGATCATTACGTGGCCTAACCCCCAAAAATCAACTATGAAATATGATTGGCTGTGAAAACCTACATGTCAAATTACCTTTACACCTTGTAATCTCAACCTGTTTATTAGGTAATGCTGCTAAAAGTAGCCTGGTCTGTCGGCGTTTTGTCCAAACAAGCTGCCAGACCTCTTTTGCCGGTCTACTGTATAGAAGAGACCAGACTGTAACCAGGTCTGCACGTGTATAGTCTAAAAAC